TTTGCTGTAGTAATCAGAAAAGAGCAATAGATTGAATTAAAAATGGAATTCTGAATCCTTCACATCTGTCCTTTATGGAACTCTTTCTCCTTATTCAATACATTCCAAAAATAAGAAAAAACCCCTTGCTAAATGTGAGGCGCACATTTCCACATTTACCACTTCTATCTGAAAAGTAAACGTTTTTCTGCGTCACTAACCATGTTAAGTATTCCTGTCAAGTTCGAAATCTGGGAATGCACTTAGCTTGTCGGTAATACTATGAAATCAAACAGACACGCACCTCAATTTCAGTTCAGAGTCACTGATATGAAAAGAAGATTTTTTACGAAAAATTTGCGCTGATTAAAAAATTTTGTGGGAATTTTTTATGAACTCAGTTGCAATAGTTCAAAAATCGTTTTCGATTTTCAAGAGCCACTTTGATTGCGAATTTTCTGTTGTATCTCTCACTCAAATTATTCAAAAGACGCTGCTAGGTGGATGAACAATATAACCGGATTTACTAAGAAAACTTGAAAGATTGCTCAAAGATGAAGCTGTCTTTCGCAGAGAACCAATTTCGGCTTTGTCTTTTTGGTGATCTTTGATAGCTTTGCCTTTAAAGTGAAACGACCACAGTGTAAACATTCTTGTATGTGGTTTTTACACTAGTGGTCTGGCTGTTCTATTCTTTTAACTCTGAACAATATTTCTTGACAATTAAAGATCTTGTGTTTTTTAAAAGAAAGCCTGTGTAAGACTAGACTTTACTTTGAAATTTGCATTGCTTTGAAGGAACAAATTATTTTTGTCTCTAGTTTGAAAGATTATGGAGGTCCATTGAGGTTTAAGAAACTGATTCTCATTGTTCGATTTTGCTTGTTATTTTTATAGCTTTATTTCTTTCTCACATGTAACGCAAAGTGAATCGTGTATGGTTTAAGTGTCTTGGAAACTCACTCATCCTTGGTACTCTCTTGAAAGATACAATAAGTGCTCTCTGTGAAATCTATATATAATTCTAAATACAATGTTGTGATGAAGCCTCACTGCCTGAAGCCATGGCGAAGAAAAATCTACCCGATTCCCCCGAGTTGTACCTCAAACAAAAGCTAAACTTGAAACCACCGTTCGCTTAATAAAATGTCACTTTTATTCTTACATTAAACAGGCGACTATTTACAAAAGAGAAATTGAGCAGAGAAAGGAAGCGGAGTTGCGTTCTCACTCTCAGTTCACTCTTATGAGGGTGACTTATTGAAAACGATTTGAACGTTCGAAGGATTGGTTTAAGCCGTTACATAAAAATTCGTTGTATGGCGTATTTACATAATTCAATTTGTGTTGTAGCGACGAATTTACTAACCACACAAACTGTCTTATCGGCTATTGTGTGACTTTACCTGCGCGAGGAAAGAGGTAAGCATGGTCCATGGTCGCCGTGGCTGCCAGATATTTGGACGAGGGAAACGTTTTTGATCCACTGATGATCATAGCTGGGCAAAACATATCTTGGCCACATATTATGAACGTTTTCATAGTCAGTGTTTCCCCAAAGCGTCATAAAGAATTGTATTCAATTCGCCTTTGCCCCGCTTCGGGACGGATTTTGCTTAATTTCATTGTGTGGTTGTTTTCTTTTCACTAGTAACATCGGATGCTAAGTAAAGGGCAAAGATGGGAAATGATTTGCGTCGCTTCGTTGTATTTATATAGTTTTTTTCAAGTACCTGATGTGATACGCCTTATATTAGACTCATAGTCATTTCTCTGTGACAAATATCTTTAAAAGAAGTAGTTATAGCAGCATTTGTCGCAATCACCAAGTCATTATGTCGGTTTTATTGGTTATGGAACGGTGAGTTAAAGAGCTACAAATACTGCAAAATTACTTTCACGCTGAAAGATTATAGACATTATCCTTTTAGATCAAATGATGGAGAAAATTTTGGATTTTACGACGGAATAAAAATCATGAGCTTTATCTGTGCCACAATCAACTGCAGTATTGGTCACCTTATTTATTACATCCCAGAAACGAATTAACACTACCCACCATTAAAACATTAATATTCTCCAGCGTGTAATCTATTTATTCAGCGAGTATAAAGCGTTTTTTCACGGAGGATACTGCTTCTTGGTGCACAAGAACGTTTGTAATATAAACAGAACTCGATTTTAGCGTGGACCGAGACTACTTTGATTTGAGAAACCAGAAAAGAGTGAATAAGCCACCAAACTTTCGGTATTATTCATACCAGGCCAATATCGTTAAATAGTATTTGAGTGAAATAGAGATTTTATACCCTGTAGAGCGAAAACGTCCCTCAGATACACAGCATTCGTTTGGTTTTTAGGAGTAAATGACCAGAAAATCACTAGTCCCACTGGCGGAGCCGCCGCGCGCTAGCTATACGTACACAGGGTGACCAGTACAACGCAGGCCATACGCTGGAATACGCCAGAAGCATTTTGATCGATTATCACAAGAAAGCCACTCTCCGTTTCTCATTTTTAACCTCGAAAAGTTACCGGTGGCCCGATTTTTATAAATTGCGTGATATCCCTAATAAAGAGATGATAAACTGTTAATAATCTGTTACCCTTATGCGTGAAAACGTCATTTGCTGAAATTATTGTTTTCTCTCTTAAACTCCGTTTACTCTACATTTTTCTCGACTAATTGCAATCCTCTCGCTGTTTTACGGGTCGGGAGTATCATTTTGTCGTCATCGGTTTGGAAGTGCTTTCATTTATAGACCTCGAAAAAGCTAGAGGTAGTCTTACTTTTTCACAATGTGTAGTGGTTCTAATGTAAAGGTAAAAGAATACAGTCTGTACTCGAGCCTATTGGCCCACCCAACCGGAGCTTACCTCGATTTTTTTATGTAGCTATAACGACTAGTAGTATTACTACTTCCCCCTGGATGGGATGCTAGTTTATCGCACCCCCCC